CCCGACGTGACCTCTTCTTTGTTAAGGCCCTGTTTTTTTAAATTAAGGAACATACAAGGTACTTTTTGAGTCTCCGTTGTTTGCTCATGTTTGTGGGGGGGTCGCAGCCTTAGAACAGCTCCGACCGCATGTGTGGCTTATCCACCTGGTGCACTTCGGGCTCAGGTGGTGGGGTCAGGACGTTTCCTTGGGAAATTCTTCAGGACACTGAATTGAGGTCCCCTCTGTTAGGCTTGCCAGATCCTTAGGATGATGTCCCCACCTCCTACCCCTGGTTTTCTGCCTGGAGAACAGAGGACCAGCAGCCACAGAGCTGGACGAGGAGACGAGACCTGGGTCTCCACTTCTGCGCACGGCCCCGGCCCGCCTTGCCCCCGAGGCCTCAGCTGTCCGGCCCTGGCCGCCCTCAAGTCTCCTAGGGACTGGCGGCCCAGGTTCCCCTGCCCCACAATGTATCATTAAACACCGGTGACACTGGAGAGACTTCTGTCCCGGGCAGTCACAGCGGCTCCATCACAACCACATCGCACCAGTCTCGGCCACAAGCACTGTTATTATACAAATAAAAATGAAAGAATGAAGATTACGTGTGAGAAAAACCGAGGTGTTTGCAAAAGGAGGGATGACCCTCCGGGGAAAGGAAAAGCAGAGAAGGGGGCGCCCCACCTCCCAGCGGCGTCTCCTCCGGAAATTGGCCGGTTGCTGGGTCGTGTGAGTCAGAGACGCGAACACCCCCACAGGAAGCAGAAAGCGTCCCGGCAGACGCGTCGGCACCAGGAGGACGTGAGAACTGGGGCTCGGAACACGCGGACTGGACTGCGGCCTGCTCATCAACCCGGCCTCGAGCTGGGGCACCGAAGGGCCCAGTTTCTAATAGCAAAGCCAGAGCAAAGCCGGCCAGTACTTCACGTCCCTGAGAGTCACGCAATCCCTATCAACTCCCAACTGGATCCAGTTCTTTTTCAGCTGCTTCCTTGAAAAAAAGGGAAATCTATTTGGAAAAATATACGAAAATAAAAGCATTTACCGCTGGTGTTGAATCAAACGTTTCCAGCTGCAGAACAAATGAGCGAAGCAGGGGACAGTCTGACAGCAGCTGGAGGCAATGCGGAAGTCACCAGACAGGGGCTTTAAAACGGTCCTGGCTCACGTGGTCGGACGTAGGTGACGAGATGGAGCAGCGAAGGAGGGAAGTGTCCCCTGTTGCAAAGCCCTCAGAAGTCCCAGAACTGAGAAGTGGAGAAGGGGACAGGGAGGATGCAGCAGAGTGACTTAATGCAGCCCCAGATCGAGCCGGTGGGGGCGGGTACTGAAGACGGAGACGCGTGGGCAGGAAGTACCCAGACTGCACCCGACAGAGAGAGCAGGGCGGGTGCCGGACAAGTCCCTAGGGGACTCTGGGCTGTGCTGAACCGATCTGGTGCAGGTGACACTGCAGCCCGTCACAGGCTGGAGACGTGAGACGGTGGGCGAGGCCTCAGCGAAACTTGAAGAGAAATATTCCCCGTAGATTAAAAAAAAAACCGGAAAAACACAGCAGGTGTCCTACTCAGGGTAAACACAGAGGAGGGTTTACAGGCGCACAGAGCAGTGAGAACGAGGGAAAGAAAGGGGCTCCTCCCGGAAAGGACACATCACCCCCAAACCGACACCGTAGCCTGGAAGTCGAGAGGGCGGCAGAGACACAGGGACCTGGGGGACCGCAGAACGGCCTTTGCAAAGGGCTGAAAAATAATGGCCAGTACGGGTTCCACTCCCAGAAAAAGTGTCCTCTCACTTGAGTCAAGTGGCGGTGCTTTCACACAGAGAAAACCTGGGAGGATCCAGCCCCTTCAAACACACACTCAAACATGATTGGAGCTTGTGCAAAAGGAGGATGGTGACAGAAAGCGTGGAAATGGAGGAGGAAACCGAGAGGACGACAAGGGTCACTGTGTGAACAGAAAGGGCCTGAGGAACCAGGAAGGGAACAGGGTTTAAAAGCCTTTACTTCTCAGTCCTCAGAAGATAACCGGCAAAGAGAAAACATCAGAGACTTTTGTCACCTGCTCCAAGTGCTATTCATGCACCGGTTTCCTCTGTACCGGTCTCTTAGCAACGTTCCCGATAATGTCAGAGACAAACGGAGGCAGAACCGCATGTGTGAACAGAGGTTCGGTGATGTTCCCAACGCGTCTCCCCTTCTTTTCAGAGGAGTAGGTAACTTCAGGGACACCTGAGCCGTAATTATTCTGAACAGCGAGGCTGAAAGAAGGCTCCCAGGTGGGGCCTTCAGCCGAGCTGACGGTACTAAAGGAAGCAGCAAAGCAAACAAAAGTGACGTCTGGGGGGTGGTCAGGAGCCCAGTGTCCCGCTGGACTGGTCTCTGTCGGCTTCTGCAAACGCCAGTAGGGGTCCGCGGGGGCGGAGCGCGTCTGGCCACCAAGGCAGGAACAGACCGCACTGGTGTTTAAAGAAGTCACACTAAGTGACTCTGACACATTAGTCTGCACGCCTCCTGAGGTGCCCATACCCCTAGACGAACTGTTCTGGAGACCTCATGCACCACTGCCAATGTGAATCTGAGTAAAGCTACTCACCGAGAGCAGCTTGTATTTTATTAAAACCTCCCCTTAACCTTGCTAGGAACAGGATGTGAGGTCCAGTCATTTCCGCATGGAATGGGCTGACAACGGGAAGTATGAAAGTTTTGTAACCCTGCGGACTCTCCACGAATGCCGTCGTTTACGTCAGGGTAACCTGCTGAGAGCCTTCAGTCCCAGGGCGCCCATAGACACTCACTCCCCGACCTTGAGCCCTTTCTGTCTGTCTCTTTTTATTATTGAAAATGACAAACACAGAAAAGCAGAGAAAATGGTATAAGGAACTCGCACATGCCCATCAGAGAGGGTGCATAGACAATCACCAACTCACGCCCAAATTTGTTTCATTTTCACCCTCGCCTGCCTCCCCCAGGCCCGCCCCAAACATGCAGAGACAGACCCCAAACATCATGTGGTTTCATTCATAAATATTTCAGAATGGATCTCGAAAAGGTGAGGGAGTCTTGTTCAGATAACAAAACCAGTGTTCCTACTTTAACAATTAGCAACCATTACTCAGTCACATGTAGGTGACTGTCTCATAAACGCGTGCATGTGTCCCCGTGTGTCTGCGTGAACTGAAAACAGTAACATACACACGTGTGCTCTCCTGCATGCGTGTGCCATCTGCAGCCATGAAGGCGGCCTTCCCAAACATGTTTCCCAGAATCCTTGGCACTGCAACAATGTAGTAGACGCAGAAAAACTGAAAGTTCAATCAATTCTAAGAAGCTTTTCAGGTTCCGGAATTAGGCTTTTCAACAAGAAACAATGTACTATAAAGTTCCATACGCTGATACAGCATACACAGTTAACCACAGTTAAATGACCAGGGGAGCGGTTATTCTGTTGCTTTCATGTGTCACTAACCCGTAACTTGTTACTGGACACGACTTCATTCCGGGAGCAAAGCAGGGAGGCTCTCTGACGACGTATTTTATGTGGTGTGGCTTTTCCTTAAACGGGAATTTCAGGTTCCAACAGCAAGCCCGGAGGTGTTCTCTCTCCGAGCCCGGTCCCTGGCCTGACCACGTGGAAATGCCCTGGGGGCCACCACCCAGGCTCCATGTGCCCTGGAAGAGCCACTGGGCCAGTGTTTGCGGGGGGGCTCAGGACGCCGCAATTGGAACACAGTCTCCGGAAAATTCTTACACCTGTCAGGGGCTTTTCACTCGTGGACTCGAACTCGTGCAGATACTTAAGGAGTAGGTAGGGGCATAAAATCACACCAAATACAGGACTAACCCATCTCGCGGGGCTTTCATTCTTCAAGAGGAAGAGGCTTAAAGAACTTCGCTTTCCCCAATGTGTCTGTAGCTGGCTGTCACTCAGGCCGCCCTGGCGTCACCGGCACCTGTGTAGCAGGAAGGGTTTCCTGTAGCCCCTGTCCTCTCCCCGTGCCGGCCTCCAGCAGGGGCGCCCACGCGGTGCACGTACCTGCCTCCACTCCCTGGGACTGCGCAGAATGGCCTCCAAACATCTCTCTAATGCTAGTTTCTTAAGAACTTGAAAAAGATGCTCAGAAGAACTCATTCATGGACTAAAGCAGAGTCCTTGTTCCTTCCTTAAACGGCGCCACACGGAGGTTCCTGCTGCCCAAGCCCGGCCCCCTTCAGTGTGAGTGAGGCTGCGGGTCCCGGCTGGGACCGCAGGGCTGCGCGAGCCACCCTTGGACTCAGACACGGTCTGTCACTTCCAGAACTGACGGGGCTCTGGCGTCCAGCAGGAGCACCTGGGAGCTGGCCTTGGAAACTGGCGGGGGTGGGGGAGCTCCAGACCTCGTAGAGAAAGTGCTGACGCTGTGGCTGGTATTTCTGGAGGGAAGGGTTTTGACACGACAGGTGGACGCATCTGACACTACAAGATCTGGATAAAAAGGGGAAACTTTCCGTGTGGCTCCTCCACCTGAAATGGAGGATCACCGTCACCACAGTGTCCCTCGTCCGTGAGAACTTACCCCTGTGGATCCGTGCAAACCACTGTAGTTCTGATCTTGGGGACGGGGTTTGGGGCCTCCTGCCTGCCGTGGCCACAGGCGTCTGGGAGCGGCCACCAACTTGTGGACTGTGACGTGGCTGGAATTTCAGGGAGAGAAAACGCAGTCTGGTGCATTTTCTGTGCATGGAACCCTGCCCTTTGAAGTCCACAGATTTTTCTAGAAAATAGTTTCCATATCAAGTATGAATAAAACCGTGTATTTAGCTTTATTAAAAACAATAGCTAAACTGACCGACGTGGAAATATTTGAGAAAGCGGGAGGAAGTGCTCCTGTGGAATATGGCAGGGTCCCAAAGCACATGCACACACACGCGCGCACACACACACACACACACACACACACACGCCTCTCGCACACCACTCGCACGGCCCCTGCTGGCCCGGACGAGCGGGCGCGGCAACGATGTCCTCTCTCCACAGAGCGTACTGTCATCACCGTGCCACCGTCCCCGATGGACGTCGCCGTCGGCGAGAGCATCGTGCTGCCCTGCCAGGTGTCTCGCGACCCCTCCGTAGAAGTCGCCTTTGCCTGGTCTTTCAACGAACACGCCATCGACGAAGGAAAGGCGGTACCCCATTTCGAACGGATCGGAGGAGTGAGTTGCCGAAGCACTAAGTGCTCAGGAAGTCGAATCGGGTCTTTTACACAAATCGACCTTTTTCATGATCATTCTCCCGTATTTATTTGCCCGGGCAATCACTGCTTGTTTATGCCACTGCACTGCTTTTGTTTTACTTTGTTTTATGTCTTTCATGGAAATGCTTGTGTTCTAGGGACGATTATAATGAGGGGAGAATGAAAGATGTCAAGTAGGAAACATGACAGTGATTCTGGTCCATCTCCTGCCCTCACTGCTGCCTCCCATCCAGCGCTGGTCTAGCTGAGCTCGTTTCTGCCTCTGCCCCCTTCCCCCTGTGTCTGCAGGAATCTGTCGGAGACCTGATGATAAGGAATATTCAGCTAAGCCATTCGGGGAAATACCTCTGCACGGTGAGGACGGCTCTGGAAACCTTGTCTGCCGCAGCCGAAGTCATCGTCAGAGGTGAGCATGTTGCTGATTCACGGCCAGTGGTGTTAATGAGTTACAGCAGGTCCTTGAGCCACGACATCTTGACAAAGAAGTGAGACAGACTGGAAAGGTTTTTGTTTTTAACTTTCCAAATTCCCAGCCCCCAGGGTCTGGGTGGTGCTGTCTCGGGTGTTGCACAGCGTAGGTTCTGTCAGGTTCTAAGGAAGGGTCAGACCCAGTAAGCAGTGGGAGGCCCTGAGGCCCAGACACGCCTGCTATCTGTGCTGAGCTGTTCTCGCAGGGCGGGGTCAAGGTCACGCCCCTGCACTTCTCCTGGCGGCTGCATTTACTGAGTCAGTTTGCAAGGAGCAATTCTCGGTATTGGAGATTAGCTTCTTATCGGATAATACTCAACCATCCCAGGGCTGGCATTTTCTAACCTTCAAAGGAACCATTTCCAAATTAATCTCTCGCCACGTAAGCTGAATTAATAGGGCTTTATCTCAAGTGTTATGCTGAAATATGTTATGTTCGGTGTCTTATTTTGTAAGCGTAACAGAAACAAGCCAAATACAGGTGTCCCTGACCCGAGAATTTAACGGTTTCCCTAAGGTGGACACTGCGTGTGTTTTCCAGGCCCCCCAGGTCCCCCCCAGGACGTCAGAGTGGACCTGGTCTCCAGCACCACGTCCCAGGTCAGCTGGAGGCCGGGCGCGGACAACAACAGCCCGGTGCAGGCGTTCGCCGTGCAGGCCCGGACCCCCTTCTCCGTGGGGTGGCAGGCGGTCTCCACCGGTGAGGGACTCCGGCCTTCGGATGCCTACGTGAAACAAAGGGTGTGTGTGATTGACTGGCTGATCGACCGGTGTTACCCAGTGCCCCCTTCTTTCCAGTTCCAGAAATTCTCGGCGGTCAGACGTTCAACGCGACAGTGGTGGGCCTGAGTCCGTGGGTGGACTATGAGTTCCGGGTGGTTGCCGGGAACAGCGTTGGGATCGGGGAGCCCAGCCGCCCGTCCGGACTGTTCAGGACCAAGGCATCGGGTAAGGAACCCACAGCTTCCCAGGCCCGGGGAGGCCCTGGTGGTGCCCCCCCTAAAGAAAACAGGCAGAAAGTCCAGTCGTGCCTCTGGACCAGGCCAGAGACTGTAACCCAGTGTCTCACTTTAGCCTTTTTAGTTGCGCAAAGTTGGCGCATTTCCTACCAAAGGAATGCGTCCGTACGCGATGCCTGAGTCCAGCAGACGCACACAGAGAGGGTTTCTCCAAAGCTGTGCCCTCCTCTGCTTTCTGGTCCCAGCAGGGGAGGATCTGCAGACCTGCAGGTGCCGACGGGCCTCTGCTTGTTTCGTGAACTGTAGCCAAGAGCTCACTGAGACTCTGCGGGTGTGGTCAGCCAGGGACTCCCACCCACTCCTCCGCTCGGACCCTGCGCAGTCGCCTTGCGCAACAGCGGAGACGCTTCCCCATGCGTGAGATGCGTCCTCGAGTCGCTGACCACAGGCAAGACAAGCAGGCGGCAAGTGAGCGCCGTCCTTCCTGAGTTCCTCCAGTGGATCCCTGCTCCACTCTCGGACCTGCCTGCAGGGTCCCGCGTGCCCCACTGACCGCGCATGGCCAGCCACGTCCACCTTCTCCTTCCACCACGTCACTGAGGGTCATTCTGTTGTTGCTTGGTTGACAAAGTACTTCAGTCACATGCATGGGACTTCCGGATGCCAGTGAGTCACCACTTAAACCACAGATCACCTGAGTGTTTTTATCACGAGAGGGGGCCACCAGACAGCGCATCCGGGAGCGGTGCTGGGGGGGGCTTCCTCCCGGAGGTGGAGGGCACAGAGGAGAGACGTGCGCTCTGCGGAGCTGGGGAGGAAGAGCAGGACAGGAACCGGCTGTTTAAGACCGAGCCGGAATCGGAAGCCAGGCCTCCTCCGGATCTGGCCAGAAGTGCGCTCCACAATAATTGGCCTTGACCTAGATGAGCAGGGGATGGGCTTCAGGAAATGAGCAGCTACAGGGAACCGGGGCGTGAACACTGGCCTAGGGAAGGGAACTCGGTGGTTCACGTGGATCTCAGCTTTCATTTCGGGTTGTTTCTGATGGACAGACACAAGGGCGGCTCCGGGCAGGGCCGACGCGGAAGTTCTTACAGCAGTTTGTCCTCCACCGCCCCTTAGCCACCGACACACGTCAGTGCGGCAGACGGAGGCACAGTGTCCCTGAGGGTCACCCTGGGCTCCGGATCTCGGGGAAGTGTGTGGTTTTCTGTTTTGCATCATCGAAGGCAGGTCTCCATGCGGTTTCAGGGTTAGGATGGTGCATTGGAAAGTGGAATAAAGGAAGGGGCTTCACTACTCAGAATATCCAACACCGTGTGAAGAGTAAATTAAAGCCTAATTTTAAAGAATCTCTGCATGTACGTAAACAATGCTGTGGGCCCGAAACAGCGTCACTGTGAGCTGTCGGCAGGAAAACCCGAGAGTGTGGGCTGCTCCCACTGACTCACACTGTCCCAGCCAATGGCACCGAAGGACAGAGGAAGAGCAGAGGCGGAAGCCAAGGCCACTCTGCGAATACACTCGGAGTCGAAGCAGGTACATTCGTGTGGATTTACCTATGACACTGGATAATGTCTGCCTGGGGCTGTGATTCAAAAGAACCATCACATTATTACGTAACTGTCATTAAGTTCGTCATCTGTGCGAAATGGGAATAAATAAGTCACTTGGATGTATCTCCATGGTCTCTGTGGTGGAAGGGAATTTTGAAACAAGCAATGAAAACTCACGTATTGTGTTTTCCATCAACAAAGATACCAGTTACTCCACCCGAGTCTGGGTGGTGATAAAAAATGAGCAAATAGAGATAATTGAATAAAATTCAACAGTTCAAAAGCTTATTCTGCAGATTTATCCATTGTCACAGATTTAGAATAATTTTGTCCTTATTTCAGGAAAAAGAGGATTTTTTAAACACTTCCAGCTGTATAAGGTAAAATGGCATTCCTATGATACAGTAGAATAAATGCTCACATACGCAATGGTCATCAATTTTATACTTTTACCTCAGAGCACTTATTATTTACTACAGTAGTTCTTACAAGGGTACAGGTGAAGGACCTATATTTTCTAATTCATAAAAATGATCAGCGTCTGGAACATCTGCCACAGAGTTCTGGGGTGAATCAGAGACTCCCCGAAGTCACACTTCGGGGGTGAAGAGTTCGAAAAACGCATCCGTTCTGCACTGAGAGATCTAGACGCAAGTGCAAAACAGGGGCTTATCGAATTATACACCACTGAAGGATTTATTTTTAAACGTCCAAACACCCTGATGACTACCAAAAATAAAAATCACTTTCGTTTGTTTACTGGAAGAAGAAAGATTTAATTAATAGCTGGCTCGGAAACGTGTTTACAGCACAACTGTGGGCTGGGGCCCTGAATCCCGGCGCCATCTGAACACAGCATCATTCGGCCAATTAGTGGAGGGTGCACAGAAATGTCAGCTCCCTGATGTTACTCGACTTCTAATTAACTTGGGAGCTGGGTGCTCCTGGGCTCCGCACAACGGTGACTCTGGCGGAGCAACCCGGGTGCAGGCACACACGGGGTACACCCATGCGGGTACATGCTGGGGAGAGGCGAAACCCAGGAAAGAGCAGCTCCTGGGGACCGTGGGGGGGGATGCGCTCTCCTAACTGCGGCCCCTGGTTCTCTCGCTTGCTTTCAGTGCCTGCCGTGGCCCCTGCCAACATCCATGGAGGCGGAGGAAGCCGGACCGACCTCGTCATTACGTGGGAGGTAATTTTCTGTCCAACTGAGTTGTTTTGAAGGGAAGCGGGTTTGCCGGCCAGGAAGAACACTGACAAACAAATCGGGTGTGTAAACACGCAGGGCAGGAAGGACGACCCAGGAAGCCTTCTCTACAGAAGGCACTGGACACGTTTATTATTCTACCAAAGTGACAGCCCGTGACTGGCGGGGCGCCTGCCTCTTCCACGTGTAAGAAAAACAACCTCCGTGTGCATGGGGGCGGGGGAGGGGGATCGGTGGGTAGCCAGTGTCACTGGGTGATGGTCTGAAGCCGGGAGGAGGTGAGGCCTGGCCCCGCACTCACACCGTCACCAGGGGCTTGACCTGCTTTCGGGAAAAGAGCTTGTGGAGAGAGAGACCGTTTCAGGCAGCCACTGCTCTAGGGCGAGAATTCACAGGGGCTGGCTTTGGGAATTCATTCCGGATTCAGGCGACTCCACCCTTCAGTGTCTGAGGGACAGTTTGCTTCTCATGACCCAGACTGGGGTTCACGGAAGGGCAACGCGGCACCAGCGCCCAATGCAGAGCCCCTCCCTCTCTTCTCCAGTTGCCAAATGATGAGCGTGTTGCGTCCATTTGTTTTGTTTCCAAGGACCTCGACGTGCCATGTAACTTTTGGGGTGTGGAAACCTAATAATTCCTTTTTTAATGTCTTTATTCAAGTCTTACCCTAACGTATACTCCCAAATACTTTGGAGTTTGAAGGACTCGAGGTGAATGTCTCAAGTACGCAGGGCAATAAAGTTAGGCTGATGGGGTCAGGTCCCACCTGGACGGGGCCTCGGCCCCGGGGCACGTGCCAGGAAAGGGCTGCCAGGCCGCCAGGTGTCTCGGTGCTGGGATGGACCCCGCACTGTCCTCCAAAAGCAGACCCGTCCCTTCTGCGGGTGAGCGGGCACGACTGGCCCTCCGAGACCTCTCTTTTCAGAATGGGCCGCAGCCCCGTTTGCAGACTCTGGGTCCACCCTGAAGATGCGGTTCTGGTACCCGCTGCCCTTGAGATTTGTCTCCTTGGTCTTTATCAACTTTGATAGGTTTCATGGCCGGAGAGCATCTGAATTTCCCACTGTACCGCACGCGTCCTCTGCGTACAGGAGAGACTGTCCCTCTGACCATCGTAAAGGGCCACTGCGCTCCTCCACCTGGCGCTCTGCCCGCCGTACACGTATTTCACCATGTACAATGCACGCATTTTGCCCACGTTTTTGAGGGAAAGGTAGGGATGCAGAGTCTACGTGGGCGTAATGATTGCTTACCGGGCGTGGAATAATGGGTGTAACAGCCCCGTGCACACCATACGCCGGTGAAAGGAAGACCCCAAACATGTGCGTGTGTGCCCTGTAAGCATGTTAGACCGGCCCCGGGGGGATGACCGGAGAAGCCCTGCCTACTCAGGGGCCCACAGTGCAGAGCCCGCCACTCACCTTGTAGCCCAGCACTCTGACCGAGCAAGGGGCCGAGCAAGCTGACCATCACATCAAGTCTGAGGCCATAGGAGCCTCAGGGCCCAGTCGAATGCCGGCTGACCCCCTCCGAAAGCTCCTGCACCACCCCGTGTCCCCAACACCTGCCTCCCTGTGGGCGGCGCGCTCCGTGCCTGGTTCAGGACCCGGCCTCTCTCCCTCTGTCCGTGTGGCTCAGACCGACCCCCATGGGAGAGCGGGTGTGGCTCAGGCCGTGTCTGTGAACAAGGGTCCATTGAAAGCCTCACGGGCAGTGATGAGTCAGTGAACATGCGGCTGAGCAGCGGGTGGGCAGGAGAAGAAGCGGACGCCGCCCATTCGTGCTGGGAGCCTGCGGGCCGTCCTCAGGGCCCCGGCCACCCGGACCCGGCTCCACCGGCCCCTCCCGCCATGCCTGGTTCTCCTTATTTTCTTTACTCCCGACGTCTAAGTTTGGTCCCTCCTCTGTGTGATTTGTAGCTTCTCCTTCTCTTTGCGCCCACGGCTTCAGGTCCCCAGCACCACGTGTGTTCTGCGGGGGGCGCCCTCCGTTTGTCTGTGGTCGCCCCCCACACCCCCAGCTTTCGTCCGAGTTCCGGAGGGGCCGGGAGCTGCTGGGCTCTCCGGGACACGGGGATTCGGCACCACAGGGGTCACAGATCTGAGCAGGGCGGTGCCTTGGTTTGAAGGGCACCGCTGGGGAGTCAGATGCGGCCGCACCACAGGGTCAGTGGTGCGTGTGTGCGTGGGCACCGGAGAGTTAGGGTGGCCTCGGAGGTGGACTCGGGGGTGTGGGAGACCAGCACAGGTCCTACCCTGTATGTCTAGTTAATCTATGGACATTTGGGGGGGGGGAGCACTTTCCCTTGGAGAAACTAAATAAATGGGATGGCTTTTTAGAGAAAACCTTCTCATAAGCAGGGGGAAGAGCTGTCTAAATTCAAGCACGGATTCTTTTTCATCTATTTTATGTGATTGTAATGTTTCCTATCTGTTGGCGCTCTGGGGAACTGGTACCCGTTTTTGTTTTGGAATTTTAATAAGTTTAGGTTTTAAATGAATCTGAAGTAACTTGGTCTCTGTGGGAATTAGCGAAGTTTTCTTTTTTATCCTTATTTTAATGTCAGGAAAAGTTACTGCTACTGCAGATGCAGGTTTAAAAAAGCTGAAGAGGTCCTTCTACGGAGCCAATATTGTTACACGCTAACTCTATTACATATACCTGACGCCGTTTGTTGAAAAATCTTGTGAAAGAAAAGTGTAGTCAATAAGTTATTCTGTACTGACTTAAAAAACTCATATCCCAATATGAATATAAGATGTTTTAACCCATAAAATCTTACAAATTTCTGATTTATTTTATAACTTGTGACTAATCCTGGGAAGAAACACAAATGTATAGAAACCCATTTTACATTTCTATTTTAAACTTTCACTGATTTACCTGAGTATCAGTCATCGGGACCATTTTCCTAGCCCGCACTCCAAACAAAAGAATCGTTGTTTTCCCTCGACTCTGAGAACCGGGACGAGTAGCCATGTGCGTCCCTAGACCAGACACGAGAGCCAGTGAGCAGGCAGGATGCAGCCCGTCACCCCGGGTCGCGCTCAGTGGCCCTTCCCTCTGCCCCAGCCCGTGCCGGAGGAGCTCCAGAGCGGAGGGGAGTTCGGCTACCTGGTCATGCTGCGGCCGGTCGGCGCGGCCGCCTGGACCACGCACAGGGTGCCGGCGGCGGAGTCCTGCAGGTTTGTGTACAGAAACGAGAGCGTCAGCCCCCTCTCTCCCTTCGAAGTCAGAGTGGGCGTGTACAACAGCGAAGGGGACGGGGCGCTGAGCGCTGTGGCCATCATCTACTCCGGGGAGGACGGTAAGTTGCGCCCTCTCTGCCTGGGCCTCCCGGCGCTGGGGGCCCGGTTTGCATTCTCGTCCCTGGAACCTCTCTGTTAAAGATGGCTGTGTCTCTTCTCCGGGTGGCAGAACCGCAGCTGGCCCCGAGGGGGACGTCGGCCCAGAGTTTCTCTGCTTCGGAAATGGAGGTGTCATGGACGGCCATCGCCTGGAACAGGAATGCGGGGCGAGTGCTGGGCTACGAGGTGAGCCCCCCAGGTCAACCGTCCTCTGTGCGGCCAGGGGCTCCTGTGTCCAGTCCTTGTCCCGCAGGGCCAGCTGTTCCCAGGGCCACAGAGTGGGGTCTTTCCAAGGAAGTGGAGGAAGCAGGGCAGGCCCTTGGAGGAGGCAGGAGGGATTATCTCACTCCGCTGTTCAGAGGCAGCCCTGCTGGTCCTTGCGGGGGTGGGGAGGGACGGCTCCTGCTCACTGCTCTCAAACCTCCGCAGAATTTCACAGGCAGCCTGCTCCGTGAGCCGCAGCGGGCTTGAAAAGAATGTCATTTTGGAGAAGGCAGTGAAGTGATGAGAGAAATCCTAGATTCTCCTAAATCTGTCATTTAGAAATAGAGTCTGCCTAGAACGAGGAAAATCGCTTCCTATTTATGGCCCTCATTTCCCCAAAGAGATGAGAGTTATTACTCGGTAACAGAGCCCTTTATTTTGGAGGTAGAACAAAAGTATAATCCTAAACGTACCCTATTAAGGATAAGTAAAATCCTTAATTTTGCCTGCACCACTGTTTTTTTCTGTTTCACATGAACCGTTCGGTCCAAACAGAGAGCTCTGCTCCTCTGACAGAGGTCCCTGCCCTTCCAGTCCCGGAAGGCCTCACCCCCGTCCGACCCTGCGGACGGACGTCGCTAAGTCACCCCCAGCCTCCGCCGCCCCGTGGACCCCCCTGACCACTGGTCTGCCCCACATGCTCAGAGCCCTGCGCTCCCTCCCTCAAACCTGTCCTCGGGCTCCTTCCCACACACGCACTCTGACCTCCTAACTGGGTCCCAAGGGGCTTGAAGGCAGGGGTCCCGCTTCCCTCTCCTTGTCGTTTTCGATGTGCCTAAAAACGGCGCCGGTGCACGGGGAGCCCTCGGCAAAAGCTGAGCGATTAACTAACCGGTCGGTCAAGGAGCTCCGGAGCAAAGCGTCCAGCCGGAAGCCTCTGACTGATGGCGTGCCTCTTGTTTTGGCCTGACTTACTATATACCCTTGGCCAAAGCTGGCGACCTTTGGTACATCGTGAAATATTTCATGCTGGCAATCTAAAACAGCCCAGGTGCTCTCCTGTCCACCGTGAGTTCTCACCCTGGGGTCCGCTCCCTCTGAAGGTTAGAGGGTCTGGGTCGTTTCTGCGTGACCCGCTCCATCAGAACACTCCCCGCCATTGCGGCCCCGTCTGCCTCGCCCTCCTGGTGGCCGACGCCCGCTCCGTTTCCACCGCCAGGTCCTGTACTGGACAGACGACTCCCGGGAGCCCTCCACTGGCCAGGTGCGAGTCAGCGGGAACGTCACGGCCAAGACCATCAGGGGGCTGAAGGCAAACACCGTGTACTTTGCCTCGGTCAGAGCTTACAACACGGGCGGGGCGGGGCCCTCAAGCCCCCCGGTCAACGTCACCACCAAAAAGTCTCGTAAGTACAGCGCCCACGCCACGTGCCGGTGTCCGCCGAGGCCGGAGACGCGGGCCTTTGCCCGGTCTCCCTTCCACCCCACTCGCCTCAACCGTCCACCGACTGCTGCGTGCGGTTGATTGGTTCTCCTGTTCTGCAGGGATAATTGTCGGAACTTTCTGGTAACGATCAAAATGGCCTGTTGTGATACTTTGGGCATTCCAACACAGGGGCTCTCCTGAGCCTGAGTGTGGAGGTGACATACAGAATGTGTGACATGTACGGACATGGGCTGTGATGCCCGGTCCGAGCCGGAGCTCATGACGGACACTGGGCAGCGGAACGTGGGGCATTCACGTGGTCAGTCAGTCTCCACATCCTCGGCCCCAAGATGGACACAGGGTGGTGCCGCCCTCACGGGGCTCGATCCAGGTGGAGAGGGACGATGGGTGGAAAGGGTCCGAGAGACACAGTCACTCCAGTAAAAGCTTCCTGTCACCCGGTCTCATTTTGTTTATCACGTGAGTCCCAGCGTGCACTGGGGTGTGGCCCTGGGGTGTGTCCCCTCCGGGGGTCTCCCCAGTCCAGTGCACCAGGGAGCCCTGGGGTCAGAGAAGGGACCCCTCTGCCTCTTTCTGCCTCCCTTCGTCATCAGCCAGCATCTGCCCAGCGGCAGGCCCCTACACAAAGGGTGAGCAGCCGATGGCTGCCGCCTCTGTCCCAGGGATGGGCCCGTAGCCTGAGGCAAGGGGACAAGTCCGGAAGGCTCTGATCAGACAGGACTCAGGCAGAGGCGACTCTTCCCGGTGGCACAATGCTTTGTGCTCTTACACATCCTAGAGGAACGTAAACTGTTTGTGTCAGCGGCTTTTCACAACACACTCTTTGGTCCCTGTGTCCCGACGAACAAGAGGCACCGTCGGCTGGACCTGAGACAGGCCGGGAAATGAAGTCACGAGTGCTGGACCCAGGGGAGGTCTCGCACCGTTCGCTGCGGTGTTCTGCTCGCCCGTGCCCTGGGAAATGACAGGTGGTCGAAAGAGTCTGAAAATGAAGTGACCTGGAGTTTCCCCGCCATCACAGACAGTTGTCATGTCCACAGGAAACGCAGGAGTCGCCCCACTCGTGGCCCCGCCCCCAGGCAGCAGCCGGAGCCCGGAGGTCGAACCGTGGGCTCCCCGTGTACCCCCAGCCTGAACCAGAGCAAGGCACCCGCATCCCTGCTCTCACTCCCCTGTGTGTGGGTGGGACCCCTCGCCCTCACCGCCTCCCCCACGGTCAGTGTGGCACCTGTGAGGTGCTGCCGCGGGTGCACCGAGGAAACTGCAAATCACCGAGGGACTCGGGAGGAGACACACGGTGGGCAAAGGCCTCGGGGCGGTTACGTTTCAGCGGTGGGCTGTGTGCTGACCATCCTCAACCCTCTCCCCTGCGTCCATTAGCTTGTCTAGACGAGATGGGGGGTGGTCCTGACCGCTGGCCCCATGCTATAAAGAAGGATGATGTCACGTCCTGTGGGGGGGTTTGCTCCTGTGCCCCCCTGAGGGTAACCTCCTTTGGCTGCTCCGTGAATCTGCAGGCAAGTGCCCAGGCCATCGGTGGCTTTAAATTTGCCCATACGTGCTTCCCATGAAGTGAAAGATGCCAAACACACTCTCTCCGGCGACGTTCAGTTTCCGAGGCCAGAACAGGGGTGACTGGGAATGTGTAAGGAAGGTACCTAAGCACCCCCTGGCCCTGCATCAGGAGCCGCGGAGAGACACCCCAGGGCCTCTGGGGAGGAGAGTAGTGTCCGTGGTCAGCGCGGCCCCGCCTCGGGCCCCCCGGCTCGGCACTGGCTGGTCTGGCTGCCGACACGCAGCCGACGCACACTTGGATGGAACGGAAGCACTGAGCTGTTATTTCATCCTGCACAGGCTTTCTCCCTTCTTCCCAAATGTCAGCCCCCTGCCGTTCCTTAGAACTGCAGCCTAAGAAGCCGCTTCTCTGAACTGAGCCCACGGTGTGAACGGCAGCGGAATACAAATGCCGACCACAGAAAGACTGGCCGGCGCTGCGGCAGGCCGGCGTGGGGGCGCGCCGTCACTCGACTAACAAAGTGATCTGCTCTTCGGAAATTGCCGGCAGAGATCTCCTAAAAACTAGGGAGCACCCGTTTGTCGAGTTTGAGGTTGACCGGCGTGGTGCAAATGTCCACGCACACGTCTTGTGTCATTCGTGGGGTGGGTTTGGCTTTTCAGGGTAACGGAAATGCCAGTTCCCTCGCAGGTGGTTGCCACGTGGGTCCCTCGGGCACGCCCAGCTGGTGAAGCCAGAACTGTTAACAGCATGGACGGACGGCATGGACGCCGCAGCCACTCACGCTGGTGGACGCAGATGGACGGCGGGGAGTCCCCAGGTAACCAGCCGAGACCGTCCCAGAAGCACACGAAGGACTCAAGCAAGAGCAAGAGCCAGGTGATCAGAACAGGTCTCGAATGCACCCTAGTCACGTCTAAGGAGTGAATCATTCGCAAACTCGGGAACTGAATTATCAGCAACGAACCGCTCTGAACACACCTGAGAGACTGATCACATCACAGCACCGCAGCGGGCGGCGGCCTCCCTCAGGAGAGAGCGTTACCAGGTACTGGACGTGTCACTGCGGGGCACTGGCCACGTGAGGGCCCCTCGCCTCTTCTCTCACACACACTAAACAGTGCAGGGGAAGGAGGTTTTAGACTCATCTGGAAGGTGGGAAAGCCGGGTCTCTTGGCAGGCACGCAGACAGCCTCCGTTCTCTCCGAGTTCAAAGCCGGATTCTTTCCACCTCCCAGACAGACTCCTCGAGAGGAACAGCATCCCGGATCACACGGGGACGGGCCTGCCACTCGGAGCGCTCCTCCCGGTCGGCACTCCGCTGGCTTTGCACCCACGGTGCCTCCCTCTGCGCTCGTGGGTGAAGACACAGGTTCAGACACTCCGTGCGAGGGCGTGGCCAGTCCCACGGGCCTGTGCGTGCACAGGGGCCACTGCAGGCTCGGCCAGGGCCGTTAGCCTGGACAGCAGGACAGCAGGACGAATGGACAGCCCTACTGTGTCACCTGCGGGTCTGCCCTCAGCCCAGAGCATCGCTAACGTGATCCGAGGCCGTCACACAGGACCCAGAACGGTCTCCCTCAGCCACCCAGGTGCCTAGACAGGGACTCAGCATCCACGAAACACGCTGGGGGTCGGGGGTGCAGAGTTCAGCAAGGCACGTGCTCTTGACAAACACAGCCAAACGCAGCAGCACAGCCAACTGCAGTTCCGGGTGGTGTGTCCATCATAGAGCAGGGACTGCGCGCCACGGGGGCTGGGGGAGACCTTGTCTCCTCCGTGTCCAGCCTGAACTGTGACTGTGTGAACAGTGGTGACCACCCAGGGGTTTGGGGTGGGCAAGGGCACGTATAACACGATGTCGGTCACACCACCCTCCTCCGGGGACACAGGCTAGACAGTGGGTGCGTCAAAACCCCAAAGAGAGCGTTTCCATTCCCACCAGCACGTGCACGCTAGACACTGCGCCTCTTCAGCCTCGAAAATGCCAGTCGAATGCCAGACACACCTGGCAGGGCAGTAGTCTCTGCCTCTGCTTTCCCCACTGAATCACTTTTGATCTCTCCAGATTGTCAAATCTTAAAGATAATCATGCGGACTGCGGTCTTTGAGTGAGACGCTGTGGTGATCACAGAGAAGCACTAGATGGGAAATCTCCAGGCGGGGACGGGGGGTCCCCTCACCCTCCCAGGCGCTGCCTGCTTTGGGAGAAGCCCTCCCGAGACTTGCACTCCAGCTTTCTTGCACATGAAAGCTTCCAGGTGGACCAGGTCCATTAACCCCGTGTTCCCACCACCTTCCTCCCAGGCACATGAATCTCAGGGAACTCAAAGCCTCGATGCTGACTTCGGGGAGGTCCCTCCATCTGTGACGACTTTCCTCTTCCTGGGACCCCCGCAGCTGTGCTTCTCTTACATGACATTCATCAGTCTTGCTCTCGGCCCCAGTCGATGGGGCCCCGGTGGACACAGGGCCGGGCTGAGTCCTGCACCAGCTTTGTCTTGGGAACTCCAGCCTGGCCTGTGTCTGGCCCGGAGGGGGGCGGTGTCCAGCCTCGGGTGCAGTGGGCGGTCCCAACCCCCACCTCACACACTGAGGGTGACAGGCAGGGGGCCCAGAGCAGGGCAGCCCACAGCCCACACCACTGTGGGAAGCAGGCGAGACCCTGCGTGGCTTTTTGACATTTTCCTTAGTCTCTCCCGAGGCCGTGCTGCATTCTGCCATGAGTCTGCGAGATTCCCCGACACCCTTCACAATTTATTACTCAGTTTCCCTTAAAATGCCTCGAATTGATTGTCGCTCACTGCCAGAGCCCTAAATCAAGCCCGAAGGGTGAAAGACTGCAAAGAACGAACCCTCCGGGCTCCCGTGTGCAGAGTTCGAAGCCTGAGTCTGTCTGACACGCACACTGATTAGTGGCCGGATGGAGCGGTGGGCGAAGGAGCCCCTGCCGCTTTGCATACGACAAAGTAAACAAACTCAACTGCAACGATGAATAAATTGAAACTGGACATGCAGGAAGCCATTAGTGATTCACACGTTTGACACAGACATTCCCAAATGACCGGAACGTGAATGAATTCGCTCACACTAATTAGAATTAATACGATATTTCCAGTGATATCGAAAACACTTCAGCTTCTTCCATGCAAATAACCTAAGACTTATTGTCACGTTTCGTGTGGATGGGTCGCAGAGTAACCATGAGCTAATTAATATTCATTTCGGTGTCTGATGGTCTTTCCCAAGCGCCGAGCCAGCCGCCCGCGAACATCGCCTGGAAGCTGACGGACTCCAAGCTCTGCCTGAACTGGGAGCACGTGCGGACCATGGAGAACGAGTCGGAGGTTCTGGGCTACAAGGTGAGCACCGTCCCGCCGGGGCGCTGGGGGGCCGGGAGGGTCTCGCCCAAACCGGGCACAGGTGTCACGCCTCTGGAAACTCAGGGCTCTTTAAATAAAACACGTCTCAGGGAGACTTAGCCTGGCTGTTGCCAGCCTCCTTATCGAAAAGCTTTCTGTCCATTATGCGTCACGGAGCGAGAAGAAATAAAACTCTGTGGTGTGCGGGGATTCCCCTTCAAGTGACCTCCTTGCTGTCAAACGATGGCGCTGTGAGGGGGTTCACAATGTGAGGTGACAGTGAGGTCAGAGAATACTGTTCACAGAGACCTTCCAGACCGTAAGCTGCAGTCGGCGATCATTCGCCGACTTAAAGGAGTGGAACGGAAATGTGCTCACACACCCAGAGCAAATCCGTGGGCGATTGCACGCATTTGGGGATTTGAGATGCACCCGAACTACCGAGCGACCTCTCGAAGCACCTTCAGAGGTGACAGCCTCGAGCTATTTAGTCGGGGGAGATGACTCTTCTCTCGGAGGCACGGGCCGGAAAAGGCAGATCTTTTTCTTCACGCTGCACTTTCAAAGGCAGGCCTGCACGGCGCATGTCCGTCCCGGGTGCCCAGTGTTGGCGATGACGCGTCTTTTGTGTTCCTTACGCAACTCAGACAAGGAACGTGTCCGCCTCACCCGATCTGCCGTTCCACGCAGATCCTGTACCGGCACAGCCGACAGAGTGAGACCCACGTTCTGGAAACGAACGCCACGTCCGCGGAGCTGCTGGTCCCGCGCGGGGAGGACTACCTGGTGGAGATCAGGGCGGTCAGCGACGGCGGGGACGGGAGCAGCAGCGCGGAGATCAGGATCCCCAGGGTGTCCAGTAAGTGGCGGCGGCGGCGCTGCTGCGGACGGCCACCCCGGCGGCCGCGGTGCGCGGAGTCCTGGCTCTGCGAACGGTGCTGATTCTGGTTTAAATGTCGGGTGGAATTGAAAAGGTCTGTGTTGCCATTTTCAATTGTGAGCAAGAGGTAATGAGTCAGTTTTTCTTTAAATAATCCCTGAAATTTGCAACATGTTTACATAACACGAGCAGCTTTATGGCTTCTCATTTGAATCTCAAACAAGAAAAATGACTGTGTGTCCTGGTGCGTGAGTCATCCGTGGGGACAAAAATCACAGTTTTCCCATGGATACGCACGCTGGGGAGAGCAGACATGAAGCGCGTGGGCACATGCCAGTCCCCACACCCATGGCAGAGGTGTCCTGGTCGATCACGACTTTCACACTGACAGGAGTCGCAGACCCACTGGGCGCAACGTCCCAGGCAGAGGCAACGCACTCAGTCAGACCGAGTGCAGAATAACAGTGCGTTCTTTCTGCGTTAGAAGAACCACTCACGCACCTGCCTGCAGCTGCGTCTGACGGAACGTCATCAGCCACCGCATGTTGGCCAGGCCTCACCCACCCAGCAGGCAGACCGGGTCATTCGGGGCAGTTTTAAGTTTTCATTTTTGCATTTGGAGCAGATACCCCGGGACAAAGGGTTAGGGCTCTCCCTGAAACACTGTGAGCGACGTGAGCTTAACCACATTCTTAGGAGAGAAATGATTGCACGCATCTGGGCCACGGAGAACTAGCCCAACGCGCAGTCTTACTCCTTCTCGGGACACTGTTTCCCTGTTCCGTTTTGCAGGTCTGAGTTCTGCAGGAGTTCCGGTTTCAGAACCTGGCGCCCGGTTCCCGTCAGTTGCCGCTGCGATTTCTTCCTGCTTTGCTCTTTGCCCGCTCGTACGACGAATGAACCCATCCGTCTGGTGAGGGTTTCGGGAGCCAATCATCCTGTAAACAGGCTCCCCGGCCCCATCAGAGACACATTCTTATTACAGACTTGTTTGGAAAGTAAAAAATATATATAAAGTATATTATTAATCTTGTAAATATCTATGATACAGTAATAAAACAATTTTAAACACTTTTGCATTTTAAACTTTGCACGTGACTGCACATCCAGAAGGTGCCAAACTAAGCTGTGGCATTTTCACTGCGGTGGCTTTGAAGTGACTTACACAGAGAGTGTCAGTAACCCCCCTCGTTGACGATGAGAAGCATGAAATAGATTGCAGTCATCACAGCTAAAGTGTGCATTTTTATATGCTATCAGCAATTTACTTCAGTATTAAAAACCGTCACCCTCCTTGGAAATAAAACAAAATTATGTGCCTATAGTGAGGATGTTTTTAAAATGTAAGCATTCCAAAGGTGATGCGCTTGTCTCTCTGTGAATCAAGTCGGGACAAGGAATGTTTGCACCTAATAACATATCCACACACACGGTCTTCTCCAGTCTTTTCTAGAAGTTCAGCATTAATAATGGCAGGGGAAGTGCTTTATGGCAAAGAGAAAAAAAAAGGAAATAACATCCACCTAAAACACTCTAACAACCCTGACATGCGGTGAGCACCTCCTCACAGGAAAGTTCCAGTGTTTCAAATAGTCCTGTATTCTGTAAATGTTGCGTGGACAAGCCTCAGGTGATGATTATGCGTTGTTAGCAATGTATGTGGCCTTATTTTTCTACAATAAATAAATCTGGAAACAGCAATATTTAACCAGGTTTTCGACATTTTGGTCCAAATATGTCTTTGCCAATCTTCTGTCTGCTGTAAAAATAATCCCTACACTGTCCCAGGCTTCGGAAGGTTTGGTGGGTGGATGCCTCGCTGGGGTGAACCTGTTTAGGCCAGTGTCTGGTTCTCGGGCCGCTTGGCGTGCAGAAGGACAGGTGGAGAGTGGGCGGGGCCATCTGCACCGCCGCCGGCGCCTGGAGCACAGGCCTGAGCTTGGGCTGCTCCGGGTCCCAGAGCAGCGGCGTCGTGTCCTGGGGGTCAGCAGGGAGACACGGTCGGCCACAGAGCGGTCCCCTCGTTCTCACAGTGCAGCCCCTTCGTCACGTGGAAAAGATTCAGACTCTGCTCACACGATCCTCACAACTGGGTTTTATCATTTTCACTTGTAGAGTAGCTTAGAGCTGTTCATGATGCTCGGCATGGCCAGCTGGACGAGGACTTGTCACCGTTGGGGGCTGGTCTTTGGCCGGGCAGCGAGTCAGACATGCAGCACAGACTGACCCTCGTCTCCGCGAACCGTGCCCGCTGGCTGGGCCTGGAAGGAGCCCCGTGAAGAGCGGCCAGTGCCACGGGCACTCACACAGACGGCCGGCTGCTGCCCTGCAGGGCTTCTGTGGGGGTCGTGGCCTCGATGTCGGCCCAGCCTGGAGACAGACAAGCCTCGTGCGCCCCCCCACCCAGCCGGAGGAGGGTTCAACCGTCCGTGAGAGTTTTGTTCAGGTGATTTAGAGTCACAGCCATTTGCGTGTATGCGTCCAAAGCTGGGCCGGTTTTTGTCAATGGCTCTCACATTTATACTTGCCGTGTGCTTTGATCCGTACTTGCTGGGGTGTTAAAAGACTATGTTACTCCACGTGTAACACACTGTTTGTATTTTCACCTGTCCATACTAAATTCTACAAAGGGTAGTTTGGCCTGAAGGTCACAGGAGAGCCTGTGTGTCCGGTTCTCAGTGGACTCGCCTCTCTGCGGCGGCCGAGGCGCCAAACACACCTGCCGGCACCTGCTTCAGGTCACCAGTTGTGGGCCGTAGCGTGCACAAGTGTGTTGCACCCCCAACGGAACATCGCCGGTGAACAAATGGAGCTGCTCTGGTCTCCACTGCTATGAATGAACCTAGAGTCTCTCCTTCCTTATGTGCCCGGCAGAGGATAAAAACAGCCAGCCTGTGTTTAGGTCCAAACCCAAAGCAGCTCCGAGGAGAACGGGCGGTTGGCCCAGTCTCTACTGTGCACTGCAGAGTGGACCGGGTGGTCTCCAGTCCGCCTGCCCCCCTGCCTGCAGGAAGGGTCTCCAGGGACCCTGTTGCTGACCGAGTCTGTTGCCGTTACCAGCTGCTATAAACACGGGGTCCCTTTTCCGCACTGTTTACGGGAAGGAGGAAACAAGTGGCCTTACCTGGCAACAGCCAGAGAAGGAAAGGGGAAGGGGGGTCGGGATGCCTGGCGAAGGAGAGGTGGCCCTTTATCTGAAGCTTGGGGCCACCCAGGTGACTACTAGCAGACTCAGCCCCACGATCTCCTCTCATCCTGTTCACACTGCAACCCTCTGGGTCTGCATCCCCTCTCTGGGCAGCAGAAGGGGGCAACCAGGATGGCCGACGGCAAGGACAGACCGTGGGAGACGACCCGAGTCGACTGGTCTCCCGACGCAGTGATGTGACCATCACCTCCCATAAGTACTGGGCTTTTTCTAAGCCTGTACCTAGTACCCGTCTGTGCTCCATGGAGGGGGACCAAGGTCGGTGCTCTCCTGTGCGCCCAAGTTACTGCCTCACTTGTTGTAGAGCTGCACACTGGACCCAGCCCGGATTTTTCTAGAATGCTACGCAAAACATGTTGGGGGGCAGTTATAAGGAGTGGACAGGCAATGCCGTGATCCTGGAGCACCCGTGGGGTCACCCCAGTCGGACCCTGGGCGCCAGGGCAGCCAGAGTGAGAACCTTCTCTCCGTCCGGAGGAGAGAGGACTCTGTCCTACTCCAGTTGACTTCATGTGGCCTCCAGCGGAGGGGACAGGGCCTGTGGGGGTGGGGAGAGCAATGGCCGAGTGCAGCCGGCTCGTTCAAAGCCCCCCCACCCCGACATGGCCCTGCAGACACACCCGGACACCAGCGGTCCACACCTCCGAGCCCCGCGGCCCACGCAAGTCCACACAGACAGCAACCAGCAGGGTGTTCTTCCCAGAGGTCACGAGGGCTTCGTTTCAAGCCATGACACTCGCGGTGGGTCCTTGACATGGTCTCCTAGGTTTACTCATCTGTACTCAAAGTGCTGGGACAGGGGTCAGACGGGGCCTTAGGGCCCCTCAAAGCGCCCCACCCTGGGCCCCTGCAGCGGGGAGCTTCCCAAGCACCGGCAGAGCCCACCGCCCATGGCCTCTGTGTGGCCGTGCAGCTGTCCTCAGTGTCGTCACCACCTCCTGGCCATGCTGAGCTTGCTCAGCTGTGCTCAGTGTCACCCTGGACCTCAAGGGTCCCCTTCACATGCACGACCCTCCAGGATTTCGCCCCACCCTCCTCTGAGAATCGAGTGTCTGCGTGGTGCCCATGAGCATGGCTGTGACAGAGGCTCCCTGCTCTGTGAAAACACAGACGGATTCAGTGGGGGGAGGTTTCGGTCACGAGTGATGTGCGTGACGTGTGGGAGAGGGGCTTTCTGCTGCTTTTCGTAGTGAAACGTCCACGCTCGGACGAAACAGAGTTGAGCATAAACACTAGCTCACTTTCTGAGTTCGGCGTTAAAATAGTCTTACGCAGCAAAGAGTAGGTTCCTTTACGTGAATCGATTCGATGGTTCTGAAAACAGGAGAGTGCTTCCCGTTACAATCTGGTGCGTCTTAGAAGACACCGTCGTTTAATGCAGCCTCTGAGAGAGTCGGACGTCCGCAAGTCACGCCGTTTACTTTCCACTCCGTCGTCCCTCCTGTGGCCTATCACCAACTTGGCGAGCGTGAGGCTGCGTGTGCGGCCGGTGGGTGTCTGCCCGGGCCAAGTGGGCAGCAGCGTCCAAGCTTGTGCATGTCGCGTGGCCACGGGCCCAGGAAATCCGGCCTACCTTCCGATCAAGACAACCATGAAAAAAATACATATCAAAATCCTGAACTTTTTATTACCTTAAAACTTGGAGATTATTTGCTTCCTCCATTTTTCTATTAAACTTGTTTTCTTTCGTGAAATTATATGTAGTAACTATTAGGATTTCTTTCATGGCCTCCTAGCTAAATAATTTTCATTAAAAAGCCAATGTGTCTCTCTCATTATTTCTGATAGTCCTGTTCTTGCCGGTGTTCGGTTCAGTCTGGGGTGGAGAAAAGGATGCTTACAACAGGTGTTTCGTTTTCTGCAGTGATTTAGAAAGCCGAGTGGCGGGACGACTTGTTTTCCTTAGTGTCCTCCAGAAAATAAGTATTTTTAATAAGCCTGACAAAATAATAAGGCAAACTAACCTCCAGATTTTGGTGAAATAGTACAGTCTTGGGGTAAAATTAGAGAAAAATGGAAAGCAGCCATTTCTGAGAAACTAACAGAAATGCTAAGTTATCCTCCTCTTTCTGAAAGTGTCTACTACAACCTGGTGATTTACCACTTTGGAAGATACTCCTGTCGCCCAGGGTGTGATCAGGGCTGAAGCCACGCGAGGGCCCAGGAGCTGCAGGGAGCTGGAGGCAGCGTGGTGGGGCCCCAGGTGGCCCGTGGCATTGCTCCCAGGCCCCCAGGTGAGCAAGACTGCGGCGCAGGGTCCGCAGGCACTCGAGGCTCCTTTCTGCAAGGAAACAGCGTGTCTCGTAGGGACGGCTCTGGAACAGTGATTAATCAATGTTTGTAAATCACTTTGTCCATGAAAAGCATTCCATAAGTTCAGTAATTTTTATTTGACGGGTTTTCCCCAGAAGTATGTCGACTTCTGGCGAAGGGACTGGGAAAAGGCATGCGTTAGTGATTAGGGCCGGGTACCGGTCCTGGAGGAAAACAGCAACTCCACAGTTTCAGAGGCGATGATTCTGAGATACTGAAACTCCAGCTGAATTCCCAAGGGCCTGTGTGGACTGACTGAAGCCTATTGAAACAGGAAGGGACCTGCACCTCTTCAGCCGGTTGGCGCAGGTTGACTCTCCAGCTTGTGAAGTACATGTCGTAAGAGTAGACTTTTTTCCTCAAATGGTATTTACGTATAACACGCCTCGAGGACTC